GATCTCCTGATTCGTGGCATTCCTCATTTCTTTTCGCATCTTGGGTCGGCGAGCTGTCCAGCATCTTCCTTTGCATTCCCTCCCTCACTCCTTCCCCTTCCTCTTGCCGCCGTGTCACTCGGACCATCGCCTGCTTCTTTGCCCACACTTTCCATCCACACCCTTCCCTCCCTTCCTCTCTCCTCCCAGTGCGTCGACGAATGGCTCAAGGTGAACGCCTCCTGCCCCACGTGTCGCGCCTCCATTCTCCCGGAATCGGCCGAGCAACCGACCCCTCGGTCCTCTCACTACGGCACCACCAGCGCAGGAGTGCTCGGCAGCTCTGCCAGCACCAGCCTGAGTGGCGGCAGCACAGGAAACAGCCCGGGAGGGGCAGGGCAAGGAACGATCCACCCCCTCACCACCTCTCCCCTCTCCTCAGCCTCCTCGGCAATTCCCACCCACCCGGGCACCCCGCACCGGGGAGGCAGTCTTGCAGGAGGAAGGGCATCGCAGCAGCAGCACCAGGTGCAACAGCAGCAACAACAGTCTTCGCGGAGGTCTACGGGGGATCATCTCGTGTAACGGTCGATCATCTCGTACAACAGTCGGTGTAACGGTCGGCGTGAATAGGGAAAGTTGTGCAGTCATGGAATCTTCACGGCTTAAGTCAGAAAGGATGCATGCGCAGGATATAAAGATAGCAGATGAGAAGGAAGAGGCGTGAAAGAGGGGTGAGAGGCGACTCCCACGTGATGTCGAAAGGACGCGTTTGTTCGTGCCATTGCAGGGACCCCAAGACGATGTACCTCGATTTTTGACTAGCGAGGATGTACAGACTTACATCTGATTAGAGATTGGGAAAATGTTGAGGACAAGAGGGATGGTGTGTGGCTGAGGGGGACTGAAACCTCGGCCCATTCTGGTGCACATGGCAGGTGGTGAGAAAGACGCAGGAGATGCGAGGGTCTGCGATCTCTATCGCGTTGCTGTTTCTTTGCTTTCCCAAACGGGCTTTGTTTTCCCGAGGTTTCCCCCCCTTGTGACAGCCTAATGTGTGTGAGACGGGGAGGCAACTCGTATCACTTTGTCGTACTTCAGGCAAAGACGGCGTTCGGTACGATGTGACGTCACGCACAAAGCTAGCAGGCGGCCGTCACATCACGCTTACGACATAAAGTAGGTCAAAGGCCACAAACTTGGTCTGTGTACATCTTGCCCATAGATTTAATCACCAAAAGCGATTGTTGATCCAACCATCATAGCTCGCGCCCGTAAAAAGTGGACAAGGCGTGCGGGAAAGAGTGCTGGTGCTGCGGAAGATCGGGTGCCTACCCCCGGGGTGTGGAGGCGCAAGACTGATGTGCGTGCTCTAACCAGGGCATGATTTATGGAGATGTGTACTTGATGTAGAAATGCTTTTGACTTGTTTGTTCCGAGCAGACCTCTTCGTGTATTGGTAACTCCCTATGTCTCCGTGGTTGTCTAGCAATCAAGAGGCATCAGGTCATGCGTGCGTTGTGGACGGGCCGGAGGCACCCGTGAGGACTCGCGCCCTATATGGGAACATTTGAGGACCTCACGGCAGTCTATCCATCCACGCACAGTTTGGATTGCTTCTGAGGCATGTTCCGAGTGTCCTTGGCCTTGCTTGGCCTTGTCGCGACGCAGACAAGTGCCTTTGTTCTCCCCGCTACGAGGATTGCCCGCGCCCCTGCGACCTCCCCCACTCAGCTTGCGGCGGTAAGTACAAAGCCAGAGAAGTAGAGAGAACAACGTTGTGCGTGATGATCATCCACTATAAATTAGAATCTATAAGGTTGCCGGCTGGCATATCCTGTCTTCTTGGGTATTTTTCTCCCTCTTGACTTCCTTTGGTTCACTAACTTCAGCCTGACGGCAGGCGCAACGTGGAGTGTTTGATGGAGGAATGCGAAGTCGTACGAATACACTGTAGCGACCATTCCCCCCTTCTCCTTCCCTTTCGTTCAGCGGTTTCCATGGATCTTTTTTTATCGCCTCTCACGCACCCCCCCCGGCTTGGTCAACATTCTCATCCCACAGACAACCATGCCAGCCGACGTAAAGCAGCAGCCCCACGGGGGGAAGCTCGTCGAATCCATGGTCGAAGGCGCAGAGGCGGAGGCTGCCAAGACCCGAGCCACTCAGGAGATTCAGCTGAACGACCGGCAGCTGTGTGACGTGGAGCTCATCATCAATGGCGGCTTCTCCCCGCTGACAGGCTTCATGAACGAGGAGGAATACAAAAGCGTGGTGGAGACACACCGGCTGCCCAACGGCCTCCTCTTCGGCCTGCCCGTGGTGTTTGACACGGACAGCGAGGAGGTGCAGCCGGGCGCCTCCCTCCTTCTCAAGCAGGGAGACCGGCCCATCGCTGTCTTCGATGTCTCGGCCAAGTACACGCCGAACAAGCCCCTGGAGGCACTCAAGTGCTACGGAACCTCCTCTCTGGAGCACCCGGGCGTGCAGATGATCGCCATGGAGCGAGGCAAATACTACCTGGGGGGTCAGCTCACGGGCTTGAACCTCCCCGTCCGGGACTTCAACTGCAAGACGCCTAAGGAAGTGCGCGCGGGTCTCCCCACGGGCAAAGACGTGGTGGCCTTCCAATGCCGCAACCCCGTCCACAGGGCCCACTACGAGCTCTTCACCCGGGCCCTGGACGCTCCCAATGTGGGCAAGGACGGCATTGTCCTCGTGCACCCGACCTGCGGCCCTACCCAGGCAGACGACATCCCCGGGATCGTCCGCTACCGGACCTACGAGGTCCTGAAGGAGGAAACGGCCAACCCGCGCATCGAATGGGCCTACCTCCCCTACTCCATGCACATGGCGGGCCCGCGCGAGGCGCTCCAGCACATGATGATCCGGAAGAACTACGGGTGCACGCACTTCATCATCGGGCGCGACATGGCCGGGAGCAAGAGCTCGGTGACGGGGGAGGATTTCTATGGTGCCTACGACGCGCAAAACTTCGCCAAGTCCATCTCGAAGGAGCTGGGCGTAGACACAGTGCCCTCCCTGGACCTGGTTTTCACGGAGGAGGAAGGCTACGTGACGGCAGAGCGGGCGAAGGAGGCGAACCTGCACATCAAGAAGCTCTCGGGCACGAAGTTCCGGCAAATGCTGAGGGCGGGGGAGGATATCCCCGAATGGTTTGCCTTCAAGTCGGTGGTCCAGGTGCTGCGGGAGAACTAAGACGGAGAGGGGGGGGAAGAGGGGCGGGAAGCGTTGAAGGCCGACAGGGTCAGGCCGGGGAAAGAGGAGGGGGAGGGGGGGGGAAGCGATGTGGGTTGGGGAGAATTGAGGACCAGAATTTTGTGCGACGGTGTTTTATGGAATGAGGGAGGGAAGAATGTGATGAAGGAGACGAGGCCCATTTGATTGAGGCAGGCTGGTCAGAACAGCCCGAAGGGTGGAAGGGGAGGGAGACAGGCAGGAGGGATCATCCCCGTGTGGAGAGCCCGTACTGCCCTTTTTGGAAAAGCAACACCGACCACAGAGGCCCTGTTTGCATCATCATCATTCGTTCGCGCAAATTTTATATAATTTTGATTCCCATCCTCCGCCCTGTCTTGGCGTCTCTCTATTTACCTCCCTCCTTCCCTCTATACGTGTGGCTGCACACAGAAGCTTGAAAATCCGCATAGCATATATTGCCGACAGGACCGCGAATGCAGAATACACTTCAACCAGGCGTCGATCCATGAAATGATTTGTACATGTGTGTCACATGAAAGCTTGTGTCCGAAGAGATCCCTACATGACAACGATCGGGTCTCCGAAACCATCCATCAATACCCGGAATTCGAGTAAATCCCACCGACCTCCCTCTACCATTGCCGCTTACCTCCCCTCCCCTTTCCCTCCCACATGCCTCTCCCTCTTCCAGTCCCCGCCTCATCCCGACTTCGACCACGCGGCTCTGGAGTGCGTCTTCTGCGTAGATCGCCTCCCCTCCCTCTTCCATCGACACCGTCTTCCTTCCTTCCGCACACGTGCACCCCAAGTCGCACCTTCTGTACACACCACTCGCCCCCATTATCTCCCTCCCCTTCTTCTCCCACCCGGGCCCCCAGCGATCCACTACACCACCCGGCCCACCTCCACGGCCGGCGAGAGGACCCCCGAGACCCGCCCCCC